ATATATATAGAATATATATATATATATATATATATATATATATATATATAGAGGGAGAAAGAGGTAGAAAAATTAAGAAGGAATTGGTGGGCGAATCACGTTTTCAATAGTGGAGCGAGGTGAACAAGGTGTAACAACAAAATCGGGCGCGGAATGAAGATCGAAGGTGGCAATCGATATAGAGGGGGGTCGAGGGGTCGCGTTCCGGAAACGAAGTTGGAGCAAGGGTGGGACCGGAAATCGTGCACGACCGACACCAGGAAGTACAACCGGTAAATATATACGCGGATGGAAAGAGGCGACGCGCCTGTGGAATGCTTAATTTCACGGTTATTGAACCGGCATCTTGATCTATCGCGACCTGCTCTATTGTCTGTTTAACATGCCATCAGACGATCATGCCTCGTTACGCGAAAAAAGAATCGTTCAATTATTATTCCGCCATCTCCGCGCCTCGACAACTATACACACATTGTTTCCTGTACGCGTTCTATAAACGGGTCTGGCCGCGTTTAAATATTCAATTGTGTTTCAATTTGTTCGCGATTAATTTCGATCAATCGATCGAAATATCATCGGTCTTCGAATTATATCGTATCATTTTCTTTTTTTTTTTTTTTGATTTGATTTTTTGAGGAGCAGTTTTAGATTTGACGAAAAAAAAGAGGGGGGGAAGGAATTAACAAGTTGAAGTCGTTAAAAAAGTACGATTCGAAAAGATTTCGCAGCAATTCTTCTCTCCGCTTCTGTTTTCAATTAAAGCCGGAAATGAAGCGTGGATATCCGGGTTTCGAAAATCCACTCGAGATCGATTCTCCACCTACGCCATTTTCAATGGAGGAAGAAAAAAATTTCAGTTTTAAACCTTCCAGATATTGTAAAGAACAGAGAAACTTGCGTTTCGTTTTTCGTTTTCAATTGCTCTCCTGTTGTATGTTCTATAAATAGCAGCAACAATTTTACTCGTAGCGAAAAATTTTCAATCAAAAAACCATTTCAGAAGTTTTAGACTCGAAATTCTAAATTTCAAATTCCAAATGCTAGATTCCAAATTCCAGATTCTAGATTCAGGATTCTAAATTCTAAATTTGATTTCAGCCATAAGTGAAACGACGTCGATAAGTTTCCTTAGGTCGTTAATTTGTAACCGCGAAGGGTTCGAAACGGAAGCGCGACAGGTCTTGTCGTAAAGTTGGAATACGAATCAGGATTGGTTGCCGGTTTGTTTTAACGACAGCCGAGGACAGCGAGTGACACGACAACGTCTCGTCCGGATGCAACACGGCGCTGTTCCGCCGAGCCGGATGCACCGGTTCTCTCGTCGTACGCGCACAGTTTATCCTGCCTGTGCTACCCCACACGCGCTGTGAAAAATATGGTGTAACGAGCGGAGCGCATCCTTTCCACGGCTCGTACGAGCGGAACGACGTGACAATGTCAACAAGTGAACGAAAACTTCCGGTTCAACCGTCCGTGTCGAACTGAGATGTTTCTTGCTCGAATTCGAGACGTTTCTCCTTTTAACGAGATGGCACAAACGGATTATTGAAACAATTGTTCGGATGATTGTTATTTCGAATCGAATTGATTAACTCTAACAATTTCGGTTTTCCTTTAACGAGACGATTTGGACAAGTTTTTTATTTGAACGATGTACGATCATTAACTCAAAAACGATTCGATCAAGTTTGGACAAGTTTCATTCGATTCGAATATCATCGAAACAATTATATATTTCCAATATACCGATTCTCATCCATCGATTCTTCCAAACACAATCGTCCTTCCCTTCTCAAGTTTGAATAAATACCACTCGATTTGATTCCGACACCACAACCGTCGACCGAGTCTTCCAAACGCGATTGTCAAATTCATTCGAAACGGATATATCCCAATTTCCAGTTGCAACTTGGTACTTTCGATTCACGTCGGTTTCCACGCCATCTTCCGGCCCCGCGGCTAATTGAACAACGCACACGTTGGGACACGTGGACGACATCGATGGACGCCACGTACGGCCGTAAATTTTACAATCCGTGCGGGCTGCGTTTCGGTCGCCGGGCCGCAGATCGGAAAACGCGCATTCGTTCGACGAATACTAAGAGTAGCGGGCTTCCGGAGCCCGTCCACGGCTGAAAAAAAAAAATTATCTTCACGAGCCGATCAAAGATCACCGGATATCCTTCTCGAGGGCCCCCGCCTAATTTCGAATTAGAATTCGAGAAGAAAGACGGGGAATCGCGTTCTCCCTTTTTTTTTTCACGATTATGCATTTCTCTCTATCTCTTCTTCCTTTCTTGTCTTTTTTCGCGCCACGACAAGAGAGGGATCGTTCGAATTCGTAACGAGGCTTTCGTACGTGATTCGAGAAGGCATGCGGGCGAAAAATCTGGCCCGTGGGAACCAGAGTTCGAAACGACCTCCATCTTCGTCCACCACCATTCTTTCACGATTCTTAACCAAGCCGATCGGCCAATCGAGTTTCGTTGACTCGAACGAAGTGGTTTTCTCGAGTCGAAACAGAAGGGACGACGATGAAGGGATACCTTTGAGCCATCGTGGTGGCTCTCGACCGTTATTCACAACGGTATTATTGATCCTTCCTCGATCGATGGCCGCTTCTTATTCATAAAAGATCGATTAAATTCATTTCGTCTGCATCGAGGGAAGACGTGTGCACACCTTCAAATTAGTTTCAATCATTTTCTTCCTTTAACACGCTCAGAATGATTCAGTTGACAATTTCTCACGAGGCTGAAATGTTACTGTCGAAAAGTCAGAACGTAAACGGAAGTTTTTAGTTCTCATTAATCACCCGTAACACCGATTCCGAGATCAGTTATTCTTTTGTGCCTTTACTTCTTCGCTCCCTACTTCATCTGTTTCGATTCAGTTCTGTATTATCAGTGGAAATTCATAACAACTCTCCTATGTTACTATGTTACAATATAATTTTAGATTTAAAAATTGTATAGAGATGTAAACTGGTTCGCCAACGGATCATATTTGTCTTCTATTTTTCCAATGTATATTTTATATTTATATTTCAATGTTTATTCCATTAAATTTCTTTTAAAATTCCGCTTTAACCCGTTGCACTCATATCTCGCTATATAGTCGCCATCCTATATTATATTATTATACATATATTTACTAATGTATAATATAATTACATTTTAGAGCCTGTTGTTACTCGATTGCTAGTCTTCTTAAATATAAATACGAGTGCAAAGAGGTTAACTCACCCTTGCTCGAAGCGCTTCGATGCCTCCTGCGCCTGGATCTGCTGCACGACCTCGGTTTCCGCTCCTCCCCGCGAGCACCGTCCACGGTGTCCATCGTGGGTACAGGTGGCGCCATCGCGTCGGGCTCCGTCAAAACGGCCGAGCTTTGCTGCTTCCTCGAGACGTTGTCCTTGCTCGAGGAAGAGCCGCGATCCTTCCCCAGGAAGGTGCTGATCGAGTGCCTTCTTCGACCCGTCGCCGGCAGAGTGGACGAGAGATTGTAGTACCTGGAAAATGGAAAAATGGATATAGACATCGTCGAAACGCGAGGAAATTAACCCTTTGCACCGCGGTCGATCTTGACGTTATATCGAGTCGATAGATAAAATTCGAAGTGATATTTTACAAATTGTGTTTAAGCGCGATTGGACATCCTTGTTTCTTTAAATACTTTTAAACAAGAAATGTACCGCGAAGTTGAAAGTAGCGATGAGGAATTTTACTGTGGAACACTTTTGATTTCGATATAGAAAGTGACAATTGAAAATAGAATTGTATTACGAGAGAGAATTGTATTGTTTTACGAGAAAATCGTGCAAATGGCGGAGAAAAATTTTTTCTTATACAAGATGCCAGCTAAAAGAGAAAATGAGACGTCCGTGTCAAATGTTTTATGCTTGTTTGGAAATTGGAAATAACTTGTAGGTGATTTTCGGTAGATGGAGCGTCTTCAAAATCGGGAAGACTATCGTCCTCCGAGGATAAAGAGGAGAGGCTTAATGGCAAGCTACGTATATCGCGGCACTGTAAAGAGTAAAGAAAAATTAAACGGACATGCTTTGAAAGATATCACACAATGGAGAAACTATAAAATATAATTTTCACATAAAATCACAACGTATAGTTTAAAAAAGAATCGACAAATTTTGTTTTTCCTTCTTAATCCTGTCATATTACGTATTACTATTCTCGTTCAAAACGAAAATTAATACCACCTATACATAAACTTAACCTTTTGCGCTCCAGCGCTCCCTTTTTTCGCTCGGCCGAACCAACAATTTAAAATGATTTCACGCACAAATTAACGTGTAAAACTTTTACATTTTAATATCTCACGTATCTTTACGTATGAAGAAAGAAAATTTGTCGAGTATTGAAGTCTATATCGTTATTTCGCGCGATATTTCAATAATTTATCTTATTTCTCACTTTCTCTATTTTCATTATTATTTTTCCTTCTCTCTATCGTCGAATAGAAATAATTTTATTATTCCTTATATGACGAAAATAATATTTCTACGCGACGACTCTCAAACTCGGGCTAGAAACGTAATTCGATCCGCGATCTAATTCGAGATAAAAAGAATCTAACGGTATATTTATTCTACGTTTCTACACATAACAAACATAAATAAGTCACCTTTATCGCGTCGAACCAAGCGATGCCCGAGAATCGCCATTGGAAAGGTACATTAGTAAATACATGTAATTATATAATATAATTACATTCTAGGGACTCTTGTTACTCGATCTTAAGTAACCTTCTTAAATATAAATACGAGTGCAAAGGATTAAATACGAATGAATTAAACGCTCCCGAGACCTGGCATCCTCCACGCCGACGAACACTTCGTTCGACTCCCGATCTTCCTCCTCTCCGTCCCCCTCCTCCTCCTCGTCCTCGTCGTCGTCCTCGCCGTTCCCGCCGTCGTGATTCTCCCTCGCCAACCCGCAATACACCATATCGTTGGACAAGAGTTCGCCGGCGGACTTCAACGCCCCTCTGCTCCGCCCTGGCCGCCTCTTGTCGTTCTCAGAGTGCGAATGCGACCTGTCCAATTACCATCTCTCTCCTCGAAAATCGTTCCAAAAAAATCGTTCGAAAAAGAGATTGTTATACCGACCTGTGGGGCAGATAGGGGGAGGGTGGGGCGACGTCGGACGGCCTGGGATCTCCCTTGAGGAACTGCTGAGTCCTCTCCGGGTCCGCGTTAGCGCTCACCGACCTGAACAGATTCCTGAAGCTCCTCCTCTGGTTGACGGGTGGCCCGTTCAGTCCCGGGTTCCCGTTCCTCGCCGACCGTTCCTCCGCGGCCCTGTTGCCGCCGCCCTCCGCGGTCTTGCAGGGGCGTCGACGGAACAGGGCCGTCAACCCCGTGGCGGGCCCGGGCCTCGAGGGTGGCGAAAGGGCGACGCTCGTTGCCGGCGAGGCCGACGAGGCCCCGCTCGACAACGAGAAGTACGAGGGGTTGTCTGTGAACATGCGGCCTCATAGAATCCACCCTCCTTCCGTGTTCTCTCTCTCCTCAATTTTTCTCACGACACGCCATCTCGGAAGGGAGGAAGCTTCGACGAGATTCTCTCGAGGATACAATGTTTGTTTCACTGTGAAAGCGTCACGAGTCGAACGTGCGTTTCTCGCGTCCTTCCATGCTCGAATATTGTTATTGTTACGACACTTTTGACCGGACACCGAGGATATATCGTGGACGAGAAAGAGAGATAAAGAAAGGAGAGAAAAGAGAAGTAGCTCGAGTTCTTTCTTTCGCTCTTCTGAAATTCGATCCTTTCGCGAGAGAGAGAGAGAGAGAGCACACGCGCGTAACGGAAAGAAAAAGAAGAAAAATAAATAAAAACGCGTATTATCGCGACCAAACGAACACGAGGTCCACCTGAGACTGTTCGGTTGGCCGGAGAGATACACCATGCCTATAGGACGCCATCGACTCGATTCGAATGGTAGTCGAAAGTGGGGGGATGGACCGGACGTGGCATTGTCCCCCACCCCGTAAACCAGAAGCGAAGCACAAGGCAGACGTACGCGGCACCGGAAGTCCGCCGCGGCGTTGTTCACGATCCAAGCGTTATTACTCTCCGAAGATGAATTGACCTCGCACTGTGACGAAGGAAAAAAGAGAGAGAGAGAGAGAAAGAGGGAGGAGAGGGAAAGGAAGGAAAGGGGAGATAGATAGACTCACGAACCGAGTTTCCTGTAAGAATGAACTGCTTCTTGTTCTAAGTACATATATTTTTGAAACCAATTTTCTTCTCGAATTTCTCCATTTCGATCGTTCGTTTTTTTTCTTTTTTCGATTGGAATTATTTTATCGTATAATTTTTTTTTATTACATTCTAGTTTGAATAACGATCATCGTTTTTTTCCCTATTTTTTTACCCTGGCACGATTCGATATTCTTTTAGTATTATAGTGATCCAGGGAAATGTATAAAGGAAGAAAAAAAAATTATTAAAAAATTAACTCGTGTTTTTGTTCAATTTTTTTTCGTATTCGATCAAAATGAAAACGTTTTTCCGGGGAATTATATTACGAGTTAACTTGCGTTACGTTTTGATAGAAAAAAATTTGAACGAATTTCATCCGCGTTTCAACTCTTTTATTTTTAAAAAATAAAAATAAAACTAATTTTCAAATTGGAAGGAACACGTAGAAATAAACGCTTCGATATATAAAATATATATAAAAAAATACAAGTATGTCCAAAAAAAAGTAAAAATGATCCTGTGATTTGGACTACGAGAACTATAAATGTTTATATCCGATTTTTATTTACAAACAAATGAACATACGAGTGCGAAGGGTTAAAATCCGCTCATCCCCACTCTCCTCCATCCATTTCCATCCGTAACGAATCCGCCAGGGGAGAATTTATGAATATAAATTCGCGAGGAATATGAAGGAACGAAGGAGGAGAGAAGAAAGTGTAATGGCGAGGAAATCGAATTAGAGATTCTCGCCGTTGGTCGGAAATAACGTTCTCGGCTATCCGAGAATGGCGCGCATAATACGCGATAAATCGATTTCGAGAGGAGAGATGGCGTAGAGGAGGGGTAAACTCGGTGAGCGGCGAGGGAAAAGGAGGGGGAGAGAAGAAAAAGAGAGAAAATGAAATGGAGGAAAGCGCGTCGCGATACGCGGTAGCCGGGCCCGCGATACGTGGCCGCGTGCGATTATGCGCGGAACGCGTGACTCGGGTGCGAAAGCGTCCTCTCCGAGATGTACGTGACCGCGGATCGGTCCAAGAAAGCTTACCGACTGCCATGCTGACCCCTTGCCGAGAGACAAACCTCTTTCCCCGCTCTTGGTCCTCTGAAACAGTGAAAATTATGCGGTTTGAATCGGATTCGAGAAATAGTCGTGGAAGAATTTGGAAAAATGAGTAAAGGGGCCTTCGACGGTATGATATTTATACGATTTTGTCGTGAAAGGAAGAAAAGGGAAATTAGAAAGTAAGAGAGCGTTCGACGAATCGTTCGAATTGAGAAAAATTGAGGAAAATTAGAGGGTGAGTTAAAATATCGTGGAAGCAAGAAAGCGTTCAATACGATATTTATAATAAATAAGTCTAAGACTTTTTAGCCGAATTTCTAAAAAAAGACGCTTAAAAATCGATTTTCTTCCGTGTTCTTAACCTCGATCGAATAATCAAACGCAATTTTCTAAATTTATATTTTGTTTTTTTCGTATATTAAACAACGTTTCTTTAGAAAAAAGAAAAAAAAGAAGAAAAATTTAACGATTTAAATTGGAAGAAAAGCACGTTTCAATCCACCAGTTTTTAACAATGATACAAAATGATATAAAAAAAAAGAAGGATGGAAAAATAAAAATTTTCGCGAGAAACATTTTTCGCTTTATTCTTCGCGGATGTTTCGATTGAGAAATCGCGTGTAACGTTGTCGCGGAGCATGTGATTTCATTCATCGCTGAAAATAAGGAGGAAATATTATATTTAGCGTGTATGCGGGGAGGCGAGAATCTCGTGCGACAACCACGACAAATTTATGATGATATGAACAGGGTGAAATAGGGGGGAAAAATAGAAATCAAGTCGTGCCATTCATATTTTATCGATGTATTGGTTGACGGTACTGATTTATAACACGTTTATAAACAAGAATTCTAGAAAAATAACGTGAATGTAATCTTTTTTAAACAAGTTAATCAATAACATTATCTTCTCTAAGGATTCTTCAAGTTTCATATTTATGAATATATATATATAATTCTTTCAAAAATTTAATTCTTCTTTTTTCGAGCGAAAAAGCAAAAATTTTTTTATCTTATCCTACTCGTAAACTCGTTTTATAATTTTCGTGGAGGTTATTATCTTTGTTCCATAGCTGGCAACATTAGCCCAACGTGTTACAAAGTATAATTATAGTCGGTCATGCAACGATGGTGTTATTAAATTCTCGAAGAATTGCACTTCCATTCACTTCCAATTTGCATTCGCATTACGATGTATTCCGCTCGAGCGTCGTAGCAAAAGAATTTACGATTAATTGCCACGATTATCATCCTCATATATCGTATATTTTCGCTTCTCCATTCGATGGATAGATCGGACGTCCTGAATGTCAAACGACAACACGAACGAACGTGTAATTGATTAACGTGGAAACACCGATAGTCACGGTTTCGACACTGTATGCACGCGATCGCTTCTTCTTCGAGTTCGAGTTCGAGTCATAGGCAACTTTAAGTTGGTAACACGAAATATAGGTCTCGACTTATCGAAGCGAATTTCGCTATTCCGTTACTTGCCACTTCCATCGACTTTGCTCGTCTAATATAGCGAAGGATAATTACCAATCTCATCGAAGGTTAATGGAAGGTTTATTATTAAATTCGATCGAGTCGACTTGCCCCTTCTGCATTACGGGCATTTCAAGGGACCGAGAGCGTTGAAATAACGTTAAATCACTTTTGTTCCTTTATATACAATGTATCTCGTTGCATACTTTTTCGCTCGATAATCACCAAACTTCTCTACCGACCGAAACCGTTGAAATAACATTAAGTCACTATTGTTTCCTTTACATACAATGTATTTCGGTGCACACTTTTTCGCTCGATTTATTTCATTTATTTACGTACGATTCCAAATGGAAAATTCCAATTCCCCTAGAATCACTAAACTTCTCCATTCCAGATATCTCTATTATTCTATTATTCCAATTACATTCCTTCGTTCCCTTCGCGAAAATTTACCAATCCTCGTGTGCGTTTTGATCCGAGGTAAGGATCCAACGAAAATTCGTTTCTTCACGAAAAAAAAAACGATCGTTCGAGAAATTGTCGGTGATCGAGGGAACGTTGTTCTAGTGGCGGGGCAGGCCTCGCATGGCGGACTATTTTCGTGCGGGTTCCGCCAAGGAGGCGGGAGAAAGACAGAAAGAGAGAGAGGGAGAGAAGGAAACGGTGGAACGTGGCAGAGAGAGGAGAGAGTAGCAGATGGAGAGGTTATCGTTCCCATGAAAGCGCGCACTGATTTACTCCCTTGTCCAAACGGATCAGCTGATGGGACGAATCATCATCGTGGCATAAATTGCCTTGCATTCGTTGCGATGTCGCGAGCCAAAAAACGTGCACGTTCTCTCTCATCGTCGTTTCCACTTACGTTTTCATCGTGTGAAATATGGAACGGGACGCGTCGAGACTTCTTCCATGGAAAACTTTTTTCACCGATTTCAATATCGTCGTTCGAGCTTTCGTTCGAGCGGAATAATCGTTATTTCTTCTTTCTGTTGACCGTTCTCTACTCAGCTCTCATTGTCCCGTCACGTTTGCTTGGATTGCCGCCATTTTTCTCGATATACCATACGAGTGCTACGTATACTCGTAGTAGTTGCTTCGTTATTTTTCCATTGTCCTCGCTAACTGTGTAACTAGTGGTTTCGTTTAACTCGTAACTCGTGTGGACTGTTCGTGTCGTTATACCGGGTGTCTCGAAGGGAAATTAATACTTTTTTATCGAATCCGAAAAATTTTTCGAGGAATATTTGTTAATTAATTGTGACGAGCAACGATTACAAAAATTTTTGAATTCCGTGAAATCAATATTTTATGAATGTTCTTTTATCTTTTGTTAACAATATACGATCAACACGGTAGAATGGTTCTGGCTCGAAATTCAAAAATTTAAGAGGAATCTAAGATTTCGTTCGATTCAAAAATCCATCAATTATATAGCCCGCGAAATTTAAATTTAGAATCCGAGGATCTTGAAATTCGCGAATAAATTCTGAATATCACAGTTTTAGCTACAAATCTTTGAATTTTACATTCTATGAAAATCCCAGGATCAATCTCAATCGTATAGCCCGCGAAATTTAAATTTAGAATAAAAGTAGAATTCGTAAAAAATAAAATTCATGAATTTTAAATTTCTCGATCCATGCTCCTGCGAATCCATAAATCCTCGAATATGAATAGAATCCAAGAGAGAATCCAAGAGTCCG